AAGATGTTATTTCCGTTACTGTTTGTGATTCGTTCTCTCTTCACCATGTTAAAGGAAATGGAAACGATCAGACATGAATTGAAGATTTCGTGACTAGATATCCGGAATACAATTTTAAAAGAACGCTTATCTCATATTTTTGGAGCAGCGTTGCCAGATTTACCGTTCTTACGGTAAATCAATCATTTTAAGTGTTCGGCTACCGTTCTTCCTCAAAATACTCAATGTCTACCGTCTTTTTATCTTGCAAGGTTTGATCGTCAACGCTGCTCTAGATTTCTAGAGGCATATTAAGCAAGCGCCCCTACTTGTGCCGGTTCCCACCGTCATATTTTAGGATCTACCGTTTCCTTTTGTAACGTCTCAAACATGACGGCTACAGTCTTCAATATTTCTGATTTTGCAGTACTGCTCAGAGCAAATACATTTTTGCTGTATCGCTTGAGATTCATAATAATGCATTGGGCTCTTCCAATACAGTACATATTCGTAGAGCCACGGGGAGACATGTTCCACCATATTAGAAGCCAACTTACTTGATTTTAAAGGAGATTTGGTAGTATCAGTGAAGGATGAACTAATGAGGTCACTCCTCTTTTCATCGTGTCTCATGCGTGTTCAGTGGGTGAGAGGTCTGGATATCTAGGAGACCAAGGGGCAAGGTTGACTCGAACGCTAATATCTTGTTGGTAAACATGATCCTCAAGAGTTTGGAGAAATGGAAAAAGATGAGGTTCCAGCAATTCCAGGATATATTGTTAGCAAATTAGACAATAGAACAATACCATATGTAAGGGTATAACGTTCAAGTGCAAATTTCACAGCAAACCTCCAGAACATGTACTGGTTATGATGGGAGTAAGGTTGCCTCAGAGGCCAAGAACAGTTAGTTTGGGATAAGATATATCATGAAGGATACGTGTTTCGCCACTGCTGGCGAAAATTAGTTCGTTCGCCATCCTTATGAGCGCACCACCTTCCAGTGCTCAACCCTCGCGCTGCCTACCAGGAGCCGTTGGTTTTAAACCGACAAATGGGATGCCGTCATTCTTCAAGACGTTGATAGATTAAATATGTTGTTCGATACAAATTAATATATTGTCAATATATTCACAAGTATTCATTGTACGTTTCAAGTACAAATACCCATTTAAAATATACAGTCCACTGCAAACATACAAGCACAAATCACCTCGCCACAAGTAGGCACCCAGGCTGAACGAGTGTATTCGGCGCCTGCTCAGGAAGCGACTCGATGCGACCGGTAGCATACGCGCGGAGTAGGAGCTGGAAAGGGGCGTGGCTGTACTACCTGGTCGTACCGTATCGACACAGCGAGGTACAGCACTCATTCGCTTCAGCCTCTCGGCAACCGTCGGCGTAGCGGAATGACTAGGCGTTCACAGCACCGTGTAGAGCTCTATTCGGTTCAGCTACTTTTTTTCAGTAGTGGTGTTCACTATAGAGTTCTCGATTGTCTCTCAGTATTGCTTTGGTGTTTTAGTGTTGTGACGTGGGTGTCAAGTGTCTCCAAAGTGGAAATTAGGTCTACCTCCAACTCTTCTGAGGGAAACAGGGTATCTGCGCAACAAACGAAGTGAGCCCTGCATACTCATCTAGTTGTGTGTTAGGGTTGACATCCTATGTTTTTTTTTAATAAATTGCGCACATTGCATACACTGAGAGATTAGTCATATGCTGAGGTATATCTCAATCGCCATATCAATATTAGTCAAAGAATCACTTCCAAAGCGACTCTTCTTCACTACACAAGCTGACTAGCACTGTCTAAAAACAATATTACAAAATTTAGCTTGGCGGAGTTTTCTGCTGTCCTAGCAGGCCATAATTGCCTTTTATCAAAGGTATTGTAGTTTTTGGTGACAATAGCTGACAAGTTTTGCCACGGGTAAACTGGAAAAAAATGCTGACAGGTACTGACGTATAATTTTTCCATCTAGAAACATTTGCAATTCAAAATTCCGCATTTGCGATTGGTAGAAATTAAGACGAGGGAAATGGCCGTCATGAAAACCGCAGGATAAGTTTCAGCTGCTATATTAACACAAAAAGTGGTACCACAGCTTGACTTGTGTTTGAATGTTTATGGTGGCTATATTGAAAAATGAAAAAATGTCCAAATTTTAGTTTGTGATACAAACTAATGCCAAGAGATTTTTTATTGAAGAGCTAGCCAGATTTTTTAATCTTTATCAGCTGATGAAAAAAAGTATAGGTTTCTATTTGAGTTTATCATTTTTTCATTTTTATACGGTTTTCAGTATGTACTGTTTTCTATCAAACTTGTTATGAAGTCTTTGCGTTGTATATTTATGATTTGCTTGTATTTATATTGCAAAAATTGTCAAGAAATATGAAGGCTACTTGAATTTTCAAGTATTTGTCTTAAAATCAACTTGACATTGCTGATATCTAATACTTGAGTTGCGCTTGACTTGATTTCAGGTATGACATTCGTGACGTCAGACTAATAAGCGTAACCTCGCCTGGGAAACATTTCTCTAAAGGCCCGTAGAACCAGTTAGAGAACGCCCCGAACTGATGGGGACACGAACATCTCAGGGACCGACAGCAGCTATCACATCTGTAGGTGTATAAACTGTGGTATAATAATTGAAGTACAACAAAACACCAAGCATTTCTAAATCAAGACGATCACGCTGAGAAAACGAATGTCGAAGTGTAATAAATGCATGATGCAAATACCATATTTATGTACAATCATTTCAGTCGGGCCAGCGACTGAGCGCTTCCGTGCCTGATGTCAAGTTCCTTTAAGCTTTGAGCTACAGTCAGTGAAATATAAATTTCAAACTTATTTCCCGGGACAAAAGGTAGCCAGTGTGGTATTCTTGACAATCTATCTGTGCACCAAACCTCCTACAAATTCGTTCAATTTAGCGTGATTGAGTAACAAACATCCACACCTTCTCGTTTATGATATTAGTATGGGATAGCAGGGATTAGTATGGATGAACGCAACGACCTGGATCTGGGGATAGTCACGTTTAGCAGTAGTAACCTCCTGTGGTAGAATCGTAGTGGGCACTTGCGCTAAGATGCGAAACCTGCATAGGTGGATCCAAAAATCTGATTTGGAAAAGCTCGGCTTTCACTATTGTATTTCCCTTTACTGTGCCTTTACAATATGATGTAATGATTAACGATAACATTCTTGACGTGTTAATATGAATGTTTGGCACGACAACGCTATACGCCGACGACGAAAATCGCTCATCATTAATAACGATAATGTAATTAATCATATTTTCATTAAATTTTAGACGGATTTTTTCCTCCTCGCCCAGACATCTCCTCAGCTTATTAAATTATCTCCAAGCCTGTAGGAGGGTACGCTAGATGCTTCCTCTAGGGGTATTTTTCAAAAGCCCTTGCGTATAGAATTAGAGTCCTTTGTCATCCTCCATGTAATTTTCTTTTGCAGAAATTGCTCATAACGCAGTAGGCTCCGAAATTTTATGAAACAAACGATGTTATTCACTCATTGTCTCCAATTTTGCTTGGGATTCTGGCTTGCAAAAATCTACACATTTTTTGTCTGCTATGTTGTGTGTAGATGATTACCATTTTAAAGAAGTATATCAAGTTAAATTTAAAGTTGGCCTGTTATACCGGCCATTGCAGCTCATATACACAAGGTGTTATTAAAGTTGGTACTTTCCTTTATGCACCGTTTGGTTCATGTGATGGTGAGTAAATTTTTCTAGTAACACATACACCGGAGTACTGAGGTAATCGACATAGTTCCGAAAGAATACACTCAAGTCGTAGGTTGACTCAGCGTTTATTTGCAAATCGGATTTGGAAAAAGCGAATTTTCCGTATTTTCATCATGTTCGTGGACATTTCCATTCCCAGCCACAAGTTTTACCTGTCTCGTGCAAAGGTCGTTTGGATGAACATCGATCGGGCACAGTAGAAGCGCCTAGAGAAATGCTCCAAATGCTGCAAATAGGGAATCTGAAAGCTAGAAGTAGGCGACGCTGGTTTGTTCCGCGTCATGTCTAAGGTTAGTAGTTGTTGACCAAATGTTCAAGTCAATAGACGTCGAGTCGAGGTTAAGCATCGTAGAAATAGGTTGTCTCTATATTAAACTTGTGTTTTTGAATCGGACGGCGACAACCACGAACAGTATCAATAAGCAACATATGATGGGGGGTGCTTACCAGCTCACAACAGAGAAAGTATTGTAATTGCGAATAAATCCTAAAATGAGACATTTTTTGGACATTACATGACATGTACCTTACAAAAAACCAAGTCACTCATGTCCATCGGTTTGCTCGTCTGTCGGTCTGTTTGCCTGTTGACTCTACAACTTGGAAAGCACCACTTTGATCCCAATGAAAGCTTCAACACAACCGGCTGAGATATATTCTCTGATGTTTCAAGAAGTGTGTTGAAGCGGCTGAAAATCGAGGGTCAAAGGTAGTAGAGGCTAGAAGTTTGGATCAGTGGAAGAAGTTATTTCATTAAGATGCTATCGATAATATTACGCCTGAAATGTATGAACGTGCACAATCAGTGATAGAAAGAAACGCGAAAGGGACCTCCGCGACATTTTTTAAATATGAGACACCCGTTTTCTGGAGAAGGAGAGTTTCCTTTCACTTACGTTTTGCTTCCTTTTCCATAAATGAGCGTGCAACTTATTAGTGATACATATGTTGGAACGAATTCCACGTCAGTTTACCGCAACATGTCTCCAGTTTCGTCTCAGCCGACAATAGACGTGCGACCTCCCGATGAAATCAGTAAATTGATTCGGAGGCGAGCGGTATATATTTTATATAAATACCCGTGAGAGAGTTAGGAATGTTATGGACATTGCTTTCGCTTTTTGTGTCATAGGTGAATTTAACGTAGATTTGGCGTCTTTGATTAGTATATACCTGAGTATGTATCAAGTAGGTCGACTGCCTCCGTCAAACACAATTGCTTTGATCGAATTTTTTTAATTATATTTCATATAGCGTTTGGGAATAGATAATACGTTATCTAATTAGTAACAGAATATCGCACAGTAGCTTTTTTATTTAAAACGTAAGTGGATGTTTCTGAAAATCGAAGTACCAACTTCTAGAACACCTGGAATCTTGGAAACTGGCCGGTTGAGCTCTTTTCCGCTACTAGGCATCTAAAATGTAGAACTATCTTCAATTAGAACCGTAAAGGTCTGAGTTTAAAATGAAGTGTGACCTGAAACAGTGGCAATTTGCATGAGTTCATTGTTACTAGTTCAGCAATCAATAAACGGTGACAAAGAAACAATATCCTGATATTAACGAGCTAAAAAAATTAATTACAGCCTACTGTAGGATGCAATAATTCAATTGATTTATCGACAGAGCCATCAATTTATACCAAAATGACGTTCACAAAATTCGGATTTTGCTGAACTTTTATGGAAATAATAAATGTGATGCAAATACAAGTAGACAATTTCACGGTGATCAGTACCTAAAATATGTGCCTACTGCTCATAATCCAGTCATAGTAGTAACAGCAAATATATAAATAGACAAACTAACTGCAGTTTTTATAAGATTCATAAAAGAGAAGCATATCCTCGGAAGCACAAGGTAAAAGTATAAGGTCTTGCTTCGGAGAAAAAGGTATAAGTATAAGCATATCCTTGTTTTCGTATTCATAATGATTACCTTATAATCGCCAGGATATCCTCCAAGAAGTAAAAGGTTGACTGGTATTTGTATATTGAGCGACATGTCCTAACTTGTGCCAGCTTGTGGTTGATCTGGGGGTTCGTTCACTCAGCATCACTGACAGTTTTATATCAAGTTAATAAGCATCTCATCCTCAAGTGATGAGAAAACTATAGAAAATAGTGGCAACGACCTGCAGTTTATCGCAGATGAAATTACCATTGCTCCCGTTATTTTGCAAAAGTTCCAAAAATAAAAATGAAAAGAAGATGTTGAAAAAATATGAATCAACATTTTAACATCCCTAACATCCACAATTTCCGCCATCATCGTTTGACCACCTTTCATTACGAAGTTGAGTCTGCTACTGACCACACTCAGAATTTTTGAAGGATATGCTTCCTATGCCAAGTATAAGGTGAAGACTATGAATATCCTTTTACTTATGTCACTGCTTTGAAGGATATGATTGTACTCAAAAAGCAAAAGGATTTACTTTTTATTTTTTATTATAAATACCATCTGGAGGATTTCCTTCAAAATTTGCAAGTACAAGGATATCCTCTGTTTTATGAATACGGCTCATTGACTTACAAATCTTTGCAGTTTATAATGTTAAGTGTTACCTGATTAGTAGACACTTGCTTAACAATTATGTATGTTCAAGACCTTTGCTTCTGAATTCAATGTCAATGATTACGAGTCATCGAGTCATTACAGTGCACAATATTAAGTGTTATCTAATTAGTAGACACTTACCCAATAAATGTGCATTGTCAAGACCTTTGTTTCTCACAAACCGTTGATTCTTCAGAACTTGGAAGGCGTGTACTAGATTAGGCACCTCCAGCATAATTGTATTTCTGCTGCATAGCTTCCTCTACAATTCAAGGACACCACTCCTGTTCGCCTCTTTGTTTGCCTGAACTGTATCAAGTAATCGATCCGGAATGCGATACGTTGACAATTGAAGCTAGCGCAAAACATTACTTTCATTAGGATACATTCGCTTATATGTCAAATATTCGTATAATTTTAAAATACCGATGTCTATATTATTATGTACTAATGTACGCGTTCTACCTGTTACCGCCGCAGTCTATCGATTGGAAAATATGCACATTAATACACAAAGCTGGCGCAAAATGTTATTCACATTTTCGAAATTATCGCATATTATGTAAAGGATATTGATGTCTATATTATTTTCGTGTACTGTTACTGCTATAATATGTCCATAGAAGTGGAATGATCACCATAAGGATTATTTTCGTCAGAAATTGACACTCCTTTGCCTGCTACATAAAGCGGTATCAAGGCGGTGGGCTCGTATTTCCGATCTAGTTTCAAAATTAGCTTTTTTGCTGAAGATGAATTTTAGTATCTGCTTGGAAACAAATACTGACATTTTTTACGTAATCTCATTATTAATTTTGACGAATCTATACGTAGATAGACCCAAAATAGCAACTAAAATGGTTTAAACGATTTTCTAGAAACTATTTTTGTTATATTTTTTTTGTTGTTCTGAACAAAAAGCTATACAGTTGATTCTTTTCGAGATACAAGGAACATTTGGAAAAATGCAAATAATGCCATTTGGGCCGAAATAATGAAAAAGGGAACATTTTAAATCTGCCAAGATCTTCGAATATTCTATTAACATTTAATATCAAAATCTGGAAGGACTTTAACAGGTATTGTAAACCTTTGTTCTCTAATAATTGTTAATAAATGGGCGCTTATGCGGAATATACATTGAGCGAGCACCCAAGTATTCATGGTATACAAAGGTTTACAATAATGATGCTCTCTAGAATGGTTTGAAATTTTGTTGGTGGATGTTTCAAGATTATCCAGGAATTTCTTTATTAAAAAAATATTTGTTCTTTCATATTCTTTTTCGGGGTCGAAGATGACATATTTTGTACCTTTGCAAATATCAAGTCGCTTATATTTTGTATACTATCAACTTTAGAAAATAGTTTATAAAAACATTCTGCGTTTAAAATGAGCCAAAAAATGTAATGCAGGGGAATTCAAATATATTTAGCTACTTCGCTCTTTGACAATCAATTATTTTCTAGTGCCCTCTGTGCCGCTTTAGTTGTTTTGAAAACGAATGCGTTTATGGCAGTCGATGAGCGAGAAATGTTCTCGCCAATTGAAAATTGAACAGTGGAGGAAAACTATCCATTCCGATGTCCCAGGATGAACTCATCGCCACCAATTACCTCTATGCTGTGTAAGTTATGCTCTGTAAGACCGCCCACCCCCCTCCCACTCCGGTAGGAGACCGGCTGATACCAAAATACTTCATGGACTAGGAGTCATTAGAGTTGCAAAAATACCACTCAAGACAAAAGATAGTGTCAACAATTTATTCCGGTCAGGATCTTAGTCCAAAATCGATGCTGTACGTACCGAGTTTACCAAGCCTCAAGGATACTTATAGGCCAATTAACACGTAGATCATAACGAAGAGAAAATTCACTACCTGCTTTGTTCATATTGCCCCTAAGTTTGTTTATCCTTATAATGACAGCATCCGCAGTTCTGATTTTATAATCCAATATTACCATATCTAACCAATAACTTTGTAGCAGAAACATTTTCTGTTGGGTAATAATTCGTTTAATGTCAGATTACACTATGCGCCATATAATGGAAAAATAATATATAATGTTATTTTATGCCTATAATAAGCTGTAAATCTTTACTTGCGACCTTCCGTGAGGCACTAAGTCCCGTTTATTGCGCAATGTCCATATAGGCAATAAACCTTTTTCATGTCGTCTCATATTAACCAGAAAGATATGCTGAATATGCCCATAAATATCGAACTGGGCCATTATGGTCGAATACTTTTTCTCGCCTCCCATTATTGCCTTATATGAACCTATATATGAGGAGCATTCATACAAAATCGTACATCTCCACATTGGATTCAAGTTGGGTTAGATAGCGAATCTTGAATAAAATCTATTTTTTAGCTAGAATTGCTCGAAATGCAACTTGTTCCATTGTAGATAAATTGTGAATATCGGGAATCCGAACAGATTCAGACATGTCAAATTATTCTCTACAAAATTGACCAAAATCAGACACGTCCCTGTAGTGATTGGGAAAGGTTTTTTCAAAACAAATCGTGTCCATATAATATAGTTTTCTATAATGTGGTCAAGTGTTTAGCTTTGCAGATGATACGCAGCTATGTATAACGATAGTATTTGAGAAAATCTAAAAATTATAGCAGAGCGTGATCTAGGAACTATTTCTGATTATTTTGCTTTTAACCGTGAACTACACGTAGATATTCTTTATGCCTTTTTCTAATACAGTAAGTTGTTGCCATTGATCGCCACTTGAGATGGGATGTTCATATAACTAATGCTACAAAATATCCCTCAGACAAAATGCACCTAAAAATGTCGTATTATCCATTGGATGATTACGTCTACGATACGCTATTCTGAGTTGGGGGATTGCTGCATATTGCCATTTGTAGCCTCTGAATATACTGCAAAAAAGAATATTAAGGGTAAAGCCTGGCAAAAATATTACTTATCCTTCTGATAAATTACTTTCAGGGACTGGGGTGTTTGACCTAGGGAAACCGTTTCTATATCAACTCATTCAATACATGTACAAAAACGAAAACAACTTCAATAAAGTTACATACAAACTTTTTAATGAATTGTAAGCTTACGATGACACACCTATCTATCATTTAAGCTTCATAATTGCTTGCCACATATGTACCGTACGTATATTGATAACATAAACTCATCGTCTATAATAAAAGGTTTATTTAACAAATATATTTTAAACAAACCAGAAAAGCTAGAAGAAATTGTTTACTAATAATCGCATAACACGAGAGCTACTCCTCCTTTCCCTCCATACTTCTAGTGTGCTTGTCGCAATTTTTAGCTAAACTGATATGTGCTAGCATCTTGCTCCAAGCAAATATTAAAATTATAGAGAAATTTACCCGTGCACAAGCAACTAGTTTGGTTTCAACGGGCTTCCCATTGTAGCTTAAAAATGTTCATTGGCTGGTAATGTATAACAATGGATGTCTCATGTTTAATGCAACAAATTCGTGAAGTAACCAGATAATTTTGTCGTGTAGTTTAGCTGCTATAGCATTTGCTGTGAGTAGGCAGGACAATAAAAACCCGAATACAATACAGTTAGTGTCAAGGTACAACAAATGCGGAATCTAGGAAAAGAGAGGGGAATTCTTGTGAATGCTTACCATTTCTGTAGATATAAAGATACGAATTCTCACTGACATTGTTTCAAAATGCCGTGCACACATTGGAGTAAGATGCTAGGGTTACGCCACTCACTATGAAAAAATGTTTGCATTACAGGGACGATGTGTCAGAATACTAGCTAATCTTAAATATTGAGAGACCTGTAAGTCTGCTTTTGCAGAATTAAAAATGTTGACATTTCCATGAGCTTTTATTTTAGAGTGCTTGGGTTATGTCAAATATCACGAGACGTCCTATACCAGGTGTACACAGGGGTATACTTACAATAGAAGGAATTCGGAAGTTTCAAACGCAACTGCTTAGTAAGAAAGCGTTGTATCACCATGAGTGTATTAATTATTGTATTTTATAATAATATATCCTGTTTTATTTTATTTGTTATGTATAAGCTTTATCAGCTCTTAAACAGTTTTTATGGTGCTGAAACAGTAGTTATAGTGCTAAATATGTTTAATGTGATTTTAATCTATTAATTCTATGATCAATGTAATTAATGACCCTGAAGTGGAACTTATTTGCATTGTACTTAAATGTTATTTCCAATTTTTTTTTTTGTTAATTACTTTATATGTATTTGACTTGGGTATGCAATTACTGTACAACACCAATAAGTAACATCTACTACACTATTGACAACATTGATATCAAGCGGTATAAAGAAACACCGGAGAACTTAGTACAAGACCGAAAAGTGACGCGTCTAATATCTTCCTGTTCAAACGAGACGCCGCGAAAGTAATCTACAGAAGTAGCCACTGAAAGGCCAAAACAATGCTTAGTATTACTTTTGCAAGAAAAAAAATATACGTGTTTGTAAATAAACTCGTATGACTAGTCTAGGTATATTGTATATAAACAGAGGTGACATTTCCACTGAGTAACGAGGTGGAGACAGAATTTTAGACTGAAGAAGAAAACTATTGTAAATGAATACATTGCCAGCATCAGAAAGTGATTATAACCATAGGAAATATTCTCGTATCTACTTATCTTTCATTCTGTTTTAGAAAAAACCTTTAACACAAATTCTCATTGCAACAATTCTGAGTTAAAAATAGCTGTTAGGATGTTATAAATATTTCCTATAAGCACTTCAACATTATCTTCAAATTTTCGGCTTGCGATACATGTATGACGTACTTGAAATGAAAAGAACAACTAATAAATCGATCTGAACTAAACATGTCCATCATTAATGTCTAACCAAAACCATGCATGCCCAACAAAATCCATAATTTCCAAACAAATCGGTTTTTTAATTTCGAGTTGCTTGGAGTAAATTAAGCGGATAAATATTAGAGGTTTGACAAAAAATAACCAATCCTGAAAAGTGAAATAATTAGGAATTAACCGTTTTGTCAATATCTCAAAGCTACCTTAACAGGATATGTTTGGTTTTGTATGGATACTGGTCATATAGAGTGCGAACGCAATAACCGCTGCTTCAGCTCCTGGGAGACCCTATATACAGGGACTTTGAAGTTGAGTCATTAATTTTCAGATAATGATTGTAGAAGGAAGATACACCAAAATATGTGTGTAAAAATAAAAAAAAAATTAAAAAAAAATGTTTACCTTGTTTTATAAAGTATCCTCCCGACAAGTATTTCAGTGCGGACCTGTATTTGATCGTGAGGTCTTGGAGCACCGGCAAGCCGTTCCCTGTGAGGTCTTAAGTCACCTGATTCACGAGCCCGTTGTACTACATTAACAAAGGCACGAGGGGTTGGTTGCACTAGATTGGGAAACCGATCCGCATAAACATGTGCCATTTTTTATTTCGTTTGAGCCACGCAACAGACACCACTATTCACTCACGCATTACCGACTGACACTGACTGTATACAACTGACTAAAATAATTGTAAAAGCATCGTTCCAAATTCTTTCGCTTTTTTGTTTCCGATGCGATGAACCGATAAGGCGGATTATATCCGTTGTTGCCAATGACGAGCACATAATATTATTATTGAGACAGGGCGGTACTCAAACTTCCAAAGTGCTATAACTTTGTTACTTTAATTTTACCAGAAAAATGGTAAAGGAAAAAAACATTTCTTTTGATCAGATCTACTCACTGTTAAAATAAATGACTCAACTTCGAAGTCACCCTGTATATTCATTGTCATAAACAGCAAGAAAAACCCCAGACACACGCTTATATTCCATTGCTATGATGACGATTATGTAATGGACAAACTGTATGGCATCTGTTGACATTTTAAGGCTCATCACACTATTTGCAACATTCATATTTTTTAATAATGGTGGATGTTCATACAGAATATCACGTAGCATCTCCACCATTAATAACTCCAAACTACAATAACTACTAACAGCTACTTATAACAAATGATTACAGGGCTTGGTTCTTGGTTGGTGGGCACTCACATAAATCTCCTCTAGCAAATGTCCATGCCTAAATTCAAAAGTGCATTTCTTAACAGGTCGCGTATTTTTATGTGTAAAAGTACGTAGGACCATTGAAACACGGTTGGAAGTGCATGAGTTACCCGAGATGAGTGCTTTTAAGAAAGGTCCTCCAATCTTATTATTTCAACAAGTTAGCAAGGCAAAAGGAGGATAAAATTGATGCATGTATAATATTATATTCTAACTTAAAAATAACAATTAAAAAATTCAAGGTCTCGGTTGGGCGCATGTGAAAACTTAGTTTGAATCACCTTATAACTACTTTGTAAGATCAGAATATGAAATCACTATCCATCAAAGTGGCGATCTGGTAGTATGTCCAATAGAAAAATATTGATACAACAGGCTATAACGTTTTGACGGTTGGTTGTTGAGTTACCAGCGGCGGTACAAAGACGCTTAAAGTGGAACGTCTACCAGCTCACCATTTTGAAAGATTCCATTTCAGAAATGTTTCCAGAATGACGCCCAGTTGCCATCTTGTAATTCTCAACTATATGCTAAATCGTAGTATTCAAGCATCAGCTGTTCAGAAAACTCGACAAACATTCACTGGTGATCCGAAAATTTAGATTCGTGAAATTTTTATAGAAACATTATGGATGTATTACAGTACATAATAGGCCCACAAAACTGGTGTGTTTTGCTCGTCCTGCCATATTTTCTTGAAAAATGTATCTCTTCTCGATGTACCCAAATCTGAAGTGGGAGCCGGTGGACAAGTTTTAGAGTAAACGCATAAAAACGATAAAAACCATGAAACAGTTTAATGAAACAATAAAAGGTGATTTGTGCTGGGTCTCCCTCTATATTTTTCCCACTGAGCACGAAGATGATGTTAGAGTCGGTAGTCCATGGATAAATAATGGGTGATTTCTTTGCTAGTATCTTTTTGGCAACACTGTTTTTGACAGATGACGCGTGAATCGTGTCTTGTGTCATTGTCAGACTTGTTCAGTTTGGTCTATAGTTTAACCATGAATCGACTTACGAACGAACAACGCTTGCAAACTACTGAATTCTACTATCAAAATTCATGCTCGGTTAAGAAAGTGCATCGAGCACTGCTTCCAATTTATGGGCAGTTTGGTCGGCCTACTGAGGGAGCTATTCGGAAGCTTGTGACTGAATTTCGAACCCAGTTTACATTATTGGACATTAAACCACAAACACGCAGACGTAGAGTGAGGACTGAAGAAAATATTGCGGCTGTATCTGCCAGTGTTAGTGATGACTGTGCAATGTCTATTCGCCGCCGTACGCAGCAATTGGGCCTCTGTTACTCCACTACGTGGAAAATTATGCGACAGGATTTGGGTATAAAACCTTATAAGATACAGCTGGTGCAAGAATTGAAGCCACACAACCTCCCACAACGTTTCCAATTTGGTGAATAGACGCTGGCAAAGTTGGAGGAAAATCCACGTTTTCATCGAAAAATTGTGTTCAGCGAAGATGCCCATTTCTGGTCGAATGGGTACGTTAACAAGCAAAATTGCCGCATCTGGAGTGAAGACCAGCCAGAAGCATTGCAAAAGCTATCAACACATCCCGAAAAAATCACTGGTTGGTGTGGATTATGGGCCGGTGGCATCATCGGGCCGTACTTCTTCAAAGACGACAATGGCCGGAACGTAACTGTGAATGGCGAATGCTACCGTGCAATGATAACAAATTTTTTTTTGCCCAAAATGGAAGAGCTGGACTTGGCTAACATGTGGTTTCAACAAGACGGTGCCACATGCCACACCGCACACGAAACAATGGCCCTATTGAGAGGCGAGTTCGGTGAACAGTTTATCTCACGTTTGGGGTCCGTCAATTGGCCGCCTAGATCGTGCGATTTAACACCGTTGGACTATTTCTTGTGGGGCCATGTTAAGGCTAATGTCTACAGGGATAAACCAGCAACGACTGACGCACTGGAAGCCAATATTGAAGCATTTATTCGTGAGATACCGGCCGATATGTTGGAGAAAGTGTGCCCAAATTGGACCTTGCGCCATCTAATGCGGAGCCGCGGCCAACATTTACATGAAATAATCTTTAAGCATTAAATTATATCGACCGTTCTATCGACTCAAATAAAGACTTAATCGTTTTTTCAAATTTTTTGTTTTTTTGGAAATCAAATCCTATACCTCGTAAAAAATCACCCGTTATTAAAGTAGTTTGGACAGTAGAAAATCAAATTTTGGTAATATTCAATGGATGCTCATCTTTCAGATATCTCTGATCTGTGATTTTAATATCTATATATCTTTCATGTTTGTTCATTAAACCCCGAATTCTCACTTCAGACCAGCAGTAACAATATGTGGGAAATATATAGTTAGACCCCATAATATGGGGTGATTTTATAAGAGGTATAGGATTTGATTTAAAAAAAAAATACAAAAAATTTGAAAAAACGATTAAATCCGTATTTGAATCGATAGAACGGTCGATATAATTTAATGTTTAAAGATTATTGCATGTAAATGTTGGCCGCGGCTCCGCTTTAGTTGGCCCATGCGCAAGGTCCAATTTTGGCACACTCTCTCCAACATATCGGCCGGTATCTCACGAATAAATGCTTCAGTATTGGCTACCAGTGCACAATCGTTGCTGGTTTATCCCTGTAGACATTAGCCTTAACACGACCCCACAAGAAATAGTCCAACGGCATTAAATTACACGATCTAGGCGGCCAATTGACGGGCCCCAAACGTGAGATAAACTG